CGAAGCCAAGACCAGGAAATCAGAAATTAAATAAACATGTTGATTCGGTGACTGTGTTCGATGTAATATTCAACAATGCTGACTGGTGTGGGGAGTTGATCCTTGAAGACTTGCCTGAATGAAGGATGTATATTAGAGTGGCCCAAATCAGGTCAATCCTGGAATGTCAAACGCTACTCGCTGGAATGGTTGTTTGGGGGGTCACAAACACCCTACCAAAATTTGAAGCCATTTGATTCACGGGAAATGGTGCTCCAAAGGGCTTGAAGATTGCATGGGAAAAACGCCAAAATGTATGGGGGAATGGGGCAGTTCCACATTTTTGGCTCTTGGTATTCGATTTTCTTGGTGTAAAAATTGAAGAATCCCACAATCTTATTCCTGCTTCAAAAAACCATACTCACACTTTCCGAATATGTGTGAAAATTTTGGGCAATTGCATGGCCAAACTCATTATACCCATGCAACTAAGGTATACCAATGCCTGGTCGAAAAGTTTGCGTTAGGCCTTCACCCTAAGTAGGCGGGTGGTTTTGAGTGCAAACGCTAATAACATTTCAGGGTTAACTCGGATTGACATCCGGTATTCAGCAAAGTTGTTCTCCATACCCCAACGGTTCTTAATTTTTCAGTGCCATCTACTTAGAGCCAAAAATGTGAAAGCGTTTCAATCTCTCATACATTTTGGCGATTTTCCCCATACAAACATTAAGCCCTTTAAGGCACCGCTTCCCATGAACCGAATGACTTCAAACTTTGGTAGGGTATTTCTGACCCCCCAAAACACCATTCCATTCCATTCGTTTAAAATTATCAACTCCGTCGTTTTTCCATATAACGGTGGGCCACTCTAATGTATGTGAATTACCTATAAACAGAAGACGGAAACGTAATCAGAAGCGAAATTCCCCGTAACGGGCTTCGTAAGAATCTGGGATTTGACGCCACCTTACTTCGGAGAAATCGAAGCCAAACGACGAAAAAAAAAGCAAAAAAAAAATTGATCTGTTTCGCAGTTGATGTCAGTCGGTCGCTTTTTTGTATGAATTCCGGTGAAAAAATAGAGCCTTACTTCTGCTGTTGTACGATTTGCCGGATCAAAGCGCTACCGTTTTTGTTTTGAGTCGGAATTTGATGATGGGTGGTGCTCGGTTTTGCTGGATGAGATGATTTTGATCTGCTCGTGGAAGATTAAATAATAACAATCTCGGTGAAAAGTGGGTGTGATTCCCAGTTATTTGCTTACCCCATTATTCGGAATCGATTTGGTGGATTTCCTTTAAGTCAATCGCTGGCTCTGATCCTGTCAGCTGCCAGTATCGAAGTAGGAAATAATTTATCAAATTCCTCCCGAATCTCTCGCTTTCAAACTAGGAAAACAGCAAAACCACTTTTCCGCAGTTCACACGTCACGTCGTAAATTATCATATCATCCGTCAAATTACAGCCTTCTTGGGACATTGAAAACCAAACAAAAACTGCCGTCATTCAAATCCAAACAACTTTCCGTCCCCAGCTCTGGTAGACGACGTATGATTGCCTGCCGGAACACACCTTTGCAGCAAACGGCAATGGAAAAAGGTCGACCTATTCCGTGATGCATGGAGCACGGATTGGAGCAGCGAACCAAACGTAAGGATTAGAGGGCCTCAAATTTTCACCCTAATTGACGTCGTTGGTTGTTGGTTGGTCGTGGTTTGCTGCACGAAAACAGCGCGTCACTCAGAAATTTCCCCATACTTTGGAAGCCACATTTCTCTGCAGTGCAGCAGTTTAAGAACTCTCTCGCTCGCTTGGTAGGTAGTTTGTGCATAAACTGCTGCTTTGGCCACATCTTGTCAGCTTTCGGTGGATCGCTACGGAGAGTGACGACTGGGAAAACTTACGCTCCAAAGGGCCATTAGTTTTGCGAGTTTTCATATTTCTGTTTCTGGGGTAAAACCATATGGCACATGGCATACCTACACAGCACCGGTGTCGGTTCCCGAGCAAGAACCGATAACATATCAATATATGAACCCTTATTTTGGTATGCTTGTGGTATAAAACCTTGTTTTGATATTATTCAGTTATCGAAATATTAAGAAATGTATAAAATATAATCCAAGGTAACAAAACCAGACCCGAGCATGAACGAATATCTCGATACCGTTAAACGGGGTGACTTTGATCAGATTGACTCTTTTTCAAAATGTATGAGAAGGAGTGCTAATAGTGCTAAGTATTTTGTAAAAATCAACCAGATGTGTTAAGTTTTATCTATACTTCTATTTTCTATGATTTTATTTTTTTTAATTATTGTATGTTTACATGCTTTAATATTAATTGAAATCGAAACTGGTTATATAAATTACATGCATAAAATCGATTATTTCAGGAATATAACAATATGCTGGTGAATTCGAAGGTCCAGAACTTCATTTTGCTATTATTATTTTTTAGTAGAATCATTACAGAATATCGCGATTTAAATTGTTGTTTTTTTTCTATTTGAGATTGATTTTGATAGTTCTATCAAAATCAATCTCAAATAGAAAAAAAAACAACAATTTAAATCGCGATATTCTGTAATGATTCTACTAAAAAATAATAATAGCAAAAAATTTTCCAATTCTAATTGGAGATCCTAGAAACACAAAAAAGGCGTTGCATGTTTTCTTTTTTGCGACTACCTACGAGACCACCTACTCTGTAACTGTAACAGTGGCTACATGGCTAGATAATCAACTACTTTCCTACCTGTCATTCATCCATTTTCACTGTTTACATGTTGTTAAAGTTTTGCGTGAGCGTATTTTAAATTTTAAATTTTGTACACGTACATTTGTGAACAAAATGCCTCGCAAGTATAAGAAAAAAGTCGGTGGAAGGACGTATTCGCCGTACACATCTGAAACTGTAGTGGAAGCAGTCAATTCAGTGCAAGAGAATCAATTTTTGCATCGTGAGGCATCTCAGCACTACAACATTCCCTTTGGAACTCTGTACAATAAATTCCACAAGTTGCACATGAATCAATCAGGAGGATCAACTGTTTTGACAATTGCCCAAGAAACAGACCTCTGTGAAACCCAGGACAGGACGCGTCAACTCAAATGTAGCATCTCTGTTGTAATTTAACGTTTTGTGGCACGTAGCTCCGTCCAGTGTTGTCAAAGTAATGGTTTGTTTAGAAAGCAAAATGGGCATTAATAGTATTTTCAGATAGAGTATTGGATGTGGTAACAATAATAGAGTTGGTAAAAGCGAACCCGTGCCAAAATCGGTCCCTATTTTTAATTTGATTTTTTGTTATAAAAATTGACAATTCGAAAATTTGAAACCTCGTAAAGTAATCCACAAGAAATTTTATGATAATTTAAAAGATACTCACCAATATTCTTGTTTTCATTCGTACCGTATTTTCCATACAAAAAACTTTTTTTTTGTAAGGAAAACACGGTTCGAACGAAAACAAGAATATGGGTGACTATTTTCGATTCGTCAATTGAAAACAGAAAACATAAAATTTATTAGCTATTATTAAAGAAATTAAATGCAAACCATCATGCTCCTGCTATCAAACTTCCTTTTACGCTGAAGCTTATTCCGCTTTTGCCCCGATTATAACATATTTCCTTATTAACACCAACTTGAAATGCTGACAATGAAAACCGTGCGTAAGAAGCTCCACGAGTTGTGAAAGTTTCTCCTCCAAATTTTCCTGCAACACACAGACCGTACTGATCGAACTCCGGAACACGACTTCCATGTTTTTGAAGAACTCAAAAGTGTTGATGGATGGGAAATATGAATCCTTCTTATCAACATTCGCCGGACAGTATGAAAACTTTTGGTATTCTGATTCAAATACACCGCGGCTGATCGCCATATGCAATTATGTTTTGCAAGTGATAGATCTGTTACTTAAGCTTTTTAAAATGTATCACGATATGTGAAACAGAAAGGTTGAACGAACAAGGTGGAACACTTTGCCTTCAGAGCCACGTCGCGAATCGAAAGGTTCGGATTACGCTTGAAATAATCCAACACCATCCGGGCCTTCACAGGGTCAGCTGTCTTCGATTTTCTTCAACTTCCAGCCCGCTGCTCGGTCGTCTGGGACTCCTTAAACGATTTTACCACCCGAGACACAGTTGTATGGGTGATTCCCAGTTGTCTTCCGATCCATCTCATGGTCGCAGTCGGATTTTCCATGACGGGGCGCAAAATTCTCCGGCGATTTTCTTCTTGTTGCGATGACATCTCAATAACCACTGAACCGATTGTTATGAAATTTTGCACATGCAAACAATTCACTCCAAACTAGTTATACCCAGATTTTCATCAATTTTTACCCACGGATAAAAAAAGTTACACACAGATAAAAATGGTGCATTTTTTTCTAGTACAAGCCTTACGTTAACGGAACTATCAACTCTATTCTTTGATCCCCACATCTATCGTATAAAATTTACCACTTTATGTCTGTTATTTGACGTCGATCGATGGCTGTGCTATTTTCAATCCAAAATTTGGTATTCATAAGTTATTTTCTTCTGCTCGGGTTGTGTTGAAAATGGGTAGCGTGATCATGTTTCGTGCTGGTGAATAGACTTTAATTGAAATAATATTCTTGGGGGCCTAGGTATTTGGAAAGGAGGGCAGCATGGTCGTCATGCAAGCAGAATTCGGGAAATTTACTGCCGTAAAGTCATTATCACCCGCACGCGGCTCTCTGCAATTTGGAAGGAGTGTTCTGGTTCGGTAGAGATGCACTGCAGTTTCGCTAAATCAGGTGCTGGGGATACACTTTTATGAACGAACATTAAGCTTTCAAAAATGTGAACTATTAATTATCAGCCTCAAAGTGATGCACACGTTCAATCAGCGAAGAAGCTGATATCAGTTTTCTCTATCTACGAGTAGCTCTCGAGTTAGACACGTGTCGGTACTCAATCAAATGCTCATATATTGTTGCGCTCCATAAATACACGCTTGGCTTTGATTCCACAGCCAGTTTAGTTTTCAATTTCCATCGAGCTCATTCCCAGTGCCATTCAGAGCAATGATCACCTACCACCTAATCGCTGTACCAATTTTCCTCATCGTCTTCGCCCAAGCATCCGAGGACATCTACGAAGACAACCTGACTGGCGATGAGTTCATCGCCGCCATCAACGCACGAGCCAAAACCTGGATTGCTGGATCAAACCCCATGCCGGAACCCGTCTACATGACCAACGTGGCAGAACCGAGCACCGCCGACCTGGCACTGCTGGACACGGATGACGAACTGCCATGGGAACTTCTGAGGAACGGCATCAGCGTGGATCTACCGGAAAGCTTCGACGCGCGGGACCATTGGCCCGAGTGTCCTTCGTTGACTCAAATCCGCAATCAAGGCTGCTGTGGATCGTGCTATGCCACGGCTGTTGCGGCGGCAATGACCGATCGGTGGTGCATACATTCCAACGGGACGCAGCAGTTCACGTTCAGCACGCAGGACGTGACGAGCTGCTGCCCGACCTGCGGCGATTGCACCACTGGATACCCGTATCGGGTTTTGTTGCACTGGAAGCAGCATGGTTTCGTGAGTGGCGGGGAGTACAACAGCGAGCAAGGTTGCAGACCGTATGAGGTTGGACAGTGCAAAGCCGGGGAGCCGGACCCTGAGCAACTGGAGTGCGTGGAGCAGTGTAGGGAAGGTCACCCGGCTAGCTATATGGATGATAAGCGTTTCGCTAGTCGAGTTTATAAGGTGGTAGAGGATGAACAGATGATAAGGTTGAATTTGTTCTCCCGAGGACCACTGTCGACAAGGTTCGAAATTTACAATGATTTCCTTAGCTACAAACAAGGTGTTTATCAGTATACATTCGGGAGACATCGTGGGTCACATATTGTGAAGCTGATTGGTTGGGGCGAGGAGAATGGAGTCCTGTATTGGTTGTGCGCCAACTCGTGGGGGCCGAACTATGGGGAGCGGGGATTTTTCAAGATTTTGCGCGGAGTGAATCATTTGGGAATTGAGGCGCAGGTTTTCGGCGGTATTCCGAGGTATGATTGAGTGGTTCGGGTATGTGATGTGTTCTATTGAAGTGTATCATTTTAAGGCATTGAATAAATAGTATTTTGAACTGGAATTTGCGTTGCTTTTATTTACAGTATTGAAAGGATCTGAATGTTTTCTAATTTATTATGATTTTCCTTTCAGGTATGTTTCACCTGATTTGTCAACCGTTATGGGATGGACCATCGATGTTCAAGATTAACCATTGTGCGTAAGTTATTAAGTAAAATAATCCATAGTATTTTTTTAAATTATTGGTAAACAAAGACAATTTTAGGATGATATAACGGGATCTAATGAACAAAAGATGAACTTTGAACCAGGACTGGTAAATGTCATTGTAAATTGTATATCTCACGCAATATACTTCTGTCACTATCATCATGAGAACACGATGATAGAGATTTTCTTCAAAATCTCATGAGATTTTACTCTTATGACATAACGTGACAGCGTTGTGGTGATCGCAATTACTAGTTCATTTATTGATAGTATTGTTAATTGTGCCACAGAAATCTAAAAAAATATATTCTCTCTACCGATTACATACTGTTGCTTGCCTAAATTCATCTACAAGGTGATTCGGAATAACTGTCACTTTTTATAAATTATAACGATTGATTTTTTATAGCAGAATATTCCAGATATACTACATAAATAACGTTCAACTTAGCATACTTTAATTCAAATCTCTCTCCCTTTACCTTTGATTATCAGTCACATTTGCCACGAAAATGAACCACAGCACGTTTTTGTTCCAGCACCTTTGGAGTCCTGAAGTGGTCCTGTGTGATATTGAAAAGATTTTCCACGCATGGTTCCATTTTACCTCTATAATGATGCGAAAAATAAATGTTTCATTCAGTCGAAGAGATTTCACACGAATTTATACAGATTTATGACATGCTCCATTTTCACGTCCATGGCTGTTTGAAATCGAAAACGAATGAAATTTCAAGTCCTACTATCAATGACATGTTTACACACTTTAAACAAAAATACATATACCCATATACACGACGTGCCAGGAAGGCAGCTCCCACACCTGGACCCTACCTATCCACCCATCAACTCATGAACCGGGGACCAACGGCTTTACTTCCCATCCGAAGGAAGGCGTGATCAGAGATGTTATGCCTCAGAACATCCCGGCGGCGCCGACTGGGATTGAACCCAGGCCTTCTGGGGTGAGAGGTAATCACGCTTACCACTACACCACCGCCGTTCATTTTACCCATTGAGAATTACATTTTTGTGAAATCCGTGACAGATATTCTGAATCACCCATTAAATCAGATAAATATTTTGATATCAAAACTGTACGAAAATTATTCACATGAGAGCTTGGTTATTGGGAAATGAGAAGAAAGGTCATGATAGGTAGTTTTTGTTAAAGAGTCGTAGTAAGCATTGGAAACGCAACATCATTCCGTTGCTATGTATTTTTCTTAGCAACCCAACAACTACCTATATTATACTGACCTTGAAATAAAGATTTTTTTCATTTATTGAATAATTGACTAGATGTCTCAAGTTATTTCTACCCAATAGTATATTCTTGCGTCTGAGACCTCGGACAGTTTTGTCTCGTGATAGTGAGACGACCTGTTTTGTCATTGTCACATGATGGCCGTGACATTTACTAGGTCAGCTTTGGCAGTATGGAGATTTTAGCGATTTACTACAGTTTTCAAAATGCATTAATCATCGTTCTCACTTTGATTTTAATTATTTTAGTATCGTTTGCGTTTAAAATCAATATTATATCCGAACAAAAACTGATAAAAATTCGTTTTCGATAAAACCATGTAACTCATGCGGTTCCTTAAACAAATGTTTCATCTGTATCCAATGGTAGTAGGTCACGAGTTTATTAAATCTCTCAAACTGGAACTCAATCCACAAAAGTTTTAGAACCACTGGATTTGTTGGATGACTCCGATGATGACTGCACATTAGGGTGTGTAAATTTTGTATGGTGGATTACTAACCCATATTCCCTACTGCTCTTTCAATTTGTATTGAAATTCTTAATTTGAATAAATATGGGAGTAAGGTACACTGAAGAAAACTAAAACATAAGAATTCCATAAAAACCACATATGATTATGCGACACTAGCATTTCTTATCTATTCTATATCTATATAGGGGAATTTACGTATTCTCGGCAACCTAAGCAGCGACCTTCTTTCTATAGCCTTTTTCTCTATGGAACGCACACATATGCAGTATTGGTTTGTTTACAATCTTTTGCTGCCAGCTGCTCTAACAATTTCAGTCGAAAGAATTGTCAAAAACTGTTTTGAAACGCTTTTACAAAGCTCCAATCTTCTCTAGTGAGAGCGAGTATTGTCGGCAACCAGTTTTTCTTCGGCAACCGTTCCATTTGAACTGCATGTAAATCTGCTGTTCTATTATCGGCAACTCGAAATCAGCTACAATTTGTAGTGCGTGTGTTTCATTTCAAGAAAACCCTGCTAGATTGCTTTTTCTCAGTGGTAAAAATATAGTCAAATTGAAGCTGAAAGCATAAAGATTCGTTTGCAAGCATTCAGCGAAGTGTTTTCATAAGAAAATCCAGTGAAAATAGTGTTTCAATTTGGGTTGCCGAAAATAGTCTGTCATACCGAAGCCGTCATTCCCCCTATATAAAAATGAATTTCTGTCTGTCTGTCTGTCTGTCTGTCTGACCCTTATAGACTCGGAAACTACTGAACCGATTGGCGTGAAAATTTGTATACAGGGGTTTTTGGGGCCGTGGAAGGTTCTTATGATGGTTCGAGACCCCTCCCCCTTCTGTAAGGGGGGGGGGGGCTCCCATACAAATGAAACAGAAATTTCTGCATAACTCGAGAACTAATCAAGCAAATGGAACCAAATTTGCCATATGGAGGTCATAGGGGGTAGCCCCTTAGATAAGAGGGGGGGAGGGGGGTGGCAACGTACACACTACGAAAAAGACATGGAAATTTCAGTGCTCTGAGACCGACACATGCAAGCGGCCCTTTTGACATAAGAATCAGTTGAAAAGGACGATAAAATCAATTCAATCAAACGCACTTTTCGTCGAGTTGCATATTTTTCAGTTTCAGGACACTTACTTTTACATGACATGTTTGATGTTCGTCAAAGTTGAATTACGTCTCGTGTAACAATAGTAATTTCTAAGTGCGTACATGCTTTTTTTTCAATTTGTGTAAGGAGGATCCTGCTAGGGTTCTCAAAAATTCCGGCTTATGCGCCAGACGAAGAAGTTGTCTGCCGGGAATTGCAGAATTATGTGTGCCCAGCTAGCAGTTTTTCTCAACCCAGCAGATTCCACCCACTAGAGTAACTCAACGGCCAAAAATCATCAACGTCCCAAGTCCAATAGTTCAAGAATTCGTTTTACCCAATTTTGTATTCTAATTTTATCTTCAAATTGTTTTAATTTGAGTTACTTGTAAATACGGTGCAAGTGATACAGGTTTATTAAACAAGTTCAGTAAATTGAAATTCGATTCGGACGGAAAAAAACTGGTTTTGAAAGTTTCCAAAAATCCATTTATGGTTTTCTTGTTTTAATTTTTGTTGTTGTTATTTTATTAACAAAATCCTGCTCTATCTCTCTCTCTCCTATGTGTGACGTCATTCCCTCCCCCCTTTTTGTGTTCCCTTGTGAGTCGTTCTAATCCCTAGACAAGCTTTCTTCCCCTACTAAGTATAATTCGGGGTCCCTACTTGTTAATCGGTGTGATTGTGTGCGTACTTACAGTTGCTGCTCAATGGTACCTGGTCGGGCCACACTCGTCCGAAGTGGGTGGCTCGTCCGTATGATGATGGCCGATGATGATCGCCCCGACCGTTGCCGGGGGGAACCAATCTTCCAACCAGACTGGCTCGATGATGCTCGATGGTTCGGTGCCAGTTGTTCACCGCGACCTTGGGTCACTGCAGATGCGACGGTGGGAGATCGTTTGACTACCACAATCGCCCGGGTCAGACAACGCCGTATCCTAACCTCAAAAAGGGAAACGATGAGGGAGCGTTGTAAGAGTGACGATCAATAGCGTGCACCGGGCGGGGCGGATGTCATCGAGTGGCGTTGACGGGCGAAACTCGCTAGATAAGGAATTCACCGTCTAGAATTGCCCCGGCGTGCACTAGCTTGATGAGTGGTTTTTCTGTGGGATGGTATTGCACGGAGGGCCTCCGGTTTTCAGGACGTGAGTAGGGCGGTAGGAGCACTCAGGGTAACCAAGCCTGATACCACCAACCAAGGAATCAAATTCACTCTGGGGGGTGAACCGATCGAAATACCGTCGAAAATAACCTGCACCACGTTTAGCGGACGTTCCTGCCACAAGCCCAAATTGCTGTTGCCACCGCTCAGTGGCTTCTGTAGAAACAAAAAAAAAAAACTCCTCAGAAACACATCACACATGTTTTTATCCACTATTTTACCTGAATTCTCTTTCTTTTTTCACTTAAATTACTTCGACTCACTTTTAGCTACCTTAGCATGTTTTTCTAGAAAGCCTTTCAATAACATTTTAACTTATTAGGAAACTATCTTAATTTTTGCAAATCAAGTTTGCTTACTTTTATAAACAATTTTAAACTTATATAAAAAAGGTTAATAAATTCTGAAAAAAAAATATTTACACCGCATTACAACATTTTCATGCTTTTTTTCTTTAGGTTTTCACCGTACTTGATTTTATTATATGGTTTTGTTCACTGCACTGATTTTCTTAGAATTCTGTAAACTGATTTTCTTCACTGATTCACTTCACCCATTAGGAAAAGACCAAATAGCTCTCCCTGACCAACCAATAAACTTCCCTTCTATTCTTTTCAGTATTCTAAGTTTTGTTTCCGGTTCTATCTTGATTTTAAAAATTCATAATTAGATTTTTCCTGTCATTAATCATTGACATGGGTGAAAACACAGTCACCCCACTATCATCGTCATTTCAAAAAAAAAATTGATTCGAGCACTCGAATTCACCTATTGCCTAAGCACTAGGAGCAACCAATTCTAATGCTTTCTAACTTTCATTGGTGCATAAACTCAAGCTAATATTGAATCCCGAGCAAGGCCCAGCACACTCAGCTAGTGAAATAAAAAAAAAAAGGATTATGCATTTTGCAGACTAGAATCGAACATCGACGTTCAGATTGTCAAGTCCGTGATTAGCGCTAACGTCTATCATCGTTTGGCTAAAGGTGTATAAGAACTACTCTTAGTAGCTCATGTAGCGCGGTAGTCATTCATAAATCATTTTTATGGAATGCTTAATCCATCCATGCCTGTGGAACTTTCTTATGAAATCAAAATTGTTCAGGTTCATAAGTCATGCCTTACGGATTTCTTAAGTTTTTGACGTAGAGTAGAACTACGTCTTTGTGGAATATACTGGTGTGAAAAGAAAAAAAAGTGTGGCGAAATAGTGTTAGGTTTTGAACGCTTGTAACATGGTCATTTATGAATGAAATTCAATTTTAAGTACACAATTTTATTCAGATTGAATGTAAGATTTGTTTGGTATAAATAGTTGTTTATCAATGGTTAACTAACTAAAATGATTAATGTTTTTAGCTGCACTCAACGAATCACAATCGAGGGAACAGAGAGACGAGCCGATTGTGCGAGATTATAAAAGAGCGTACCGGTATGGTTTGTGTCAGTTTGTCTGCGGATGTGACGGATGGAGGACAGTTCAGTTGACCGGCACAAGAGTGCCATTTGGCTACCTATTGTTTGCTTTAAATTGACATCTCCATTAGATAGCAGATTGTGGTCTTTGGCAAATTGGCTCAGGTGTATAATTCGTCGGTTTCAAGAATAATGCCACAAGTCATAATATAGGTAATATTTTCCGTTAAATCGGTTAAAAGCTTACAAAATTTAAATGCCGTACACACTTAGATTGTATTACCGAGATTGGTGTCGCTGACTAAATAGGTAAACTGAAAACGAATCTTACTCAGGGAGTGTGTCACTTTTATTAATTCGTATG